AGCATTCAACTTATAGTTATGCTCAGAGTACTATAGCAGAATGGTTCATTATGTTTGTAGAGTCACTGCCACACCTTTAGTGACCATAAAGTTAAACTTTGTAAAGCACACTCCCACTGTGTACTCTGTTTTTTCAAGATGCTGTAAGACTTCGGAAAGGGTCCTTTACTAGTAAAAGACTCTATAGCAAGGTGAAAGCAGTAAGAACGTCTCTAGCTGTGTCTGTGTCTGTGTCTGTCTGTGTCTCCTCCCTCCCTCCTTCCCTCCCAAACCACCTCAGGCTGGTTTGAACTAATGATTCTGCTGCCTGGGCCTCCCAGATGCCAGGATTGCTGAGAATAATAGCATGTATCACTGTGCCTGGCAAGGTAATGCACTTTTAATGCACTTGAACTTTGTGTTTTCCCCTCAATTATTACTATTAATTCTTAAATTTTCTACACCTTGCTTCAGTAATGATCCATGAAGACAAGCCCACATTTTGGTTATTGTGATTGGTTTGGATCTTGTTTATGTGTTTGTATGTGTATGTATCAGAATAATAGCATGTATCACTGTGCCTGGCAAGGTAATGCACTTTTAATGCACTTGAACTTTGTGTTTTCCCCTCAATTATTACTATTAATTCTTAAATTTTCTACACCTTGCTTCAGTAATGATCCATGAAGACAAGCCCACATTTTGGTTATTGTGATTGGTTTGGATCTTGTTTATGTGTTTGTATGTGTATGTATCTGTGTGTGTGTGTGTGTGTGTGTGTGTGTGTGTGTGTGTGTGTGTGTGTGCCTGTGTGTGAGAGCTAGAGGTCAACATTGTCTTTCTCATTTGTTTTCCACCTTACTTTTTGAGACAGGGTCTCTCACTGAACCTGGAGCTTGCTGATTGGCTACACTAACTGGCTAGCAAGTCCCAGGGTTCCTCCTGGCTTCCCAGTGTTGACATTATAGGCCTGCTGCCATGCTCAGCTTTTTATGTGTGTGATGGAAACCTGAACTCAGGTTCTCATGCTTGTGCAGCAAGCACTTTACTGACTGAGCTGTCTCCCCAGCCCCTTAGTTTTGGATATTTTTTTTTAATTAAAAAATATTTTATTATTTTTATTTTATATGTATGAGTATCGCCTGCGTGTATGTGAGTGCACCCATGTCATGCAGTGCTGCAGAGATCAGAAGAGGGCTTCAGATTCCCCTGGAACTGGAGTTAAGGACAGTTCATAGCTGCCATGTGGGTGCTGGGAATCGAACCCAGGTCCTCTGCAAGAGCAGTCTGTGCTCTTAAATGCTGAGCCATCTCTCCAGTCCCATAAGAAATTTATATTTCACTTTGGTAGTTTGGGCAACTATTTGAGGCAACTGTCTTCCTTATAGTAACTGAAGGACCAAAGTTTTTCTCATCCCGAGATTCTGTCTTTATGTTCACAGCCAAAGAAAGAAAGACATCTAGAAGAAGACACACATCTGCTGTTAAATGCCCATTCTCAACTGGAAGTGCACCAGTATTACCCAAACCCCATGGGCACAAGGCCCCATCTAACTGCAATAGGACAGAGCAGTTAGGTGCTGCTCAGTGGTCAGAGAGGAGACTTGCAAGTAAAATCTACAAGTCTCTGCCACAGTTGTTTTCCAAGCAGAATTGTAAGAGGGAATTCACCTAGAACACATGGATGGTGGGGAAAATATGCGTACATGTGTGTGCTTATGTGTATATGTATATATGAGTGTATGTGTGGATATGTGTTTGCCTGTGTGGATATGTATGTATGTGTGTAAGTGTATATCTCTATAAGTATGTATGTGTATGTATGAGTGCATATTTATGTATGAGTGTATGTATGTATGCGTATGTATGTGTATGTGTGTTTTGTGTTTATGTGTGTATGTATGTGTGTATATGTGTATGCTTGTGCAAATGTGTGTATATATTCGTGTCTGTGTTATACATATGTGTCTCTGTGTGTATCAATTTGTATGTGTATGTGTGTACGTGTGTATTTCTTTGTATGTGTGTATTTGTACGCATGTGTGTGCTCGTTTGTATGTGTATGCATGTATGTTTGTGGTGTGTGTGAGTATATGTGTATATTGTATATTTGTGCGTATCTGTGTGTGTGTGTGTGTGTGTGTGTGTGTGTGCCTCTGTGTGTGTGTGTGTGTGTGTGTGTGTGTGTGTGTGTGTGTGCCTGTGTGTGAGAGCTAGAGGTCAACATTGTCTTTCTCATTTGTTTTCCACCTTACTTTTTGAGACAGGGTCTCTCACTGAACCTGGAGCTTGCTGATTGGCTACACTAACTGGCTAGCAAGTCCCAGGGTTCCTCCTGGCTTCCCAGTGTTGACATTATAGGCCTGCTGCCATGCTCAGCTTTTTATGTGTGTGATGGAAACCTGAACTCAGGTTCTCATGCTTGTGCAGCAAGCACTTTACTGACTGAGCTGTCTCCCCAGCCCCTTAGTTTTGGATATTTTTTTTTAATTAAAAAATATTTTATTATTTTTATTTTATATGTATGAGTATCGCCTGCGTGTATGTGAGTGCACCCATGTCATGCAGTGCTGCAGAGATCAGAAGAGGGCTTCAGATTCCCCTGGAACTGGAGTTAAGGACAGTTCATAGCTGCCATGTGGGTGCTGGGAGTTGAACGTGGGTCCTCTACAAGAGCAGTCAATGCTCTTAATTGTTGAGCCATCTGTCCAGCCCCTCTTGTTTGGATCTTTATGTATAGTATACATTGCTTACTGTAGTGGACATTTTCTGGGATGTACATCATTAGGCATTTTCATGGGAGGATCATAGCGTGTACATACACAAACCTAGATGGTTAAGGCCAGTCTTTTCATGTGCCTTCTTGATGTAATCAAGAAACACTAGAACAAAGTGTATGAGGTTTGCTGCTGATGTAATAATGCAGAATGATCTTTTATGGTAAACTTTTTCTTATAAATACACTCATAAATACACTCTAAAATAGAATAAAAATATGCCAGTTACATGGGGAGATGACTCGGTTGGTAAGAATGCTTTCTGAGTAAGAATTAGGACTTGAATCTAAATTCCCAGCACCCATATAAAAGCTGGGCATGGCTACGTGTACCTTTAATTGGAGTTGTGAGGCATAGCTAGGTGGATCTTACTGGCCAGCTAGCCTAGCTGAAATTGCATGTTTCAGGTTCTTTGAGAGACTTATTTCAAGGGAATAAGGCAGACGGCAATGGAGGAGGACACCCAATGTTCTCTGTGGCTTCTACACACACATGCACATATATATACCATATGTGCACACACATACAAAATATATATCATAGTGAATATATATCAACAGCAACAGTTGCTTGTTATCAAGTGTTATATATTGTGCATACAGAACACATACTAAGGAAATGAAGAGTCTGGACAACAGAAGTGATTTAAGATCATACGTGATAAGATTGACTGTGACAGATACTGTCAGTGGCTCACAGCCCTAACCTGTAGAAGTGTTCAAGTGCATGGACGTAGGAGCAGGGCTTATTAGCATTGCCTCTGGAACTTTTGTTTTTTAAAGAAAGAAAAGAAAGTGCTGTACTCTGAAGATTTTGCACAAAATGTGTTAAATCTGTTAACACATTTAAATGTGTTAAATCAGTTCGGGGATTACTGATTTTGAGTTGTCTATGGATACAGTTGGTTCTGAATCTCAAAATAAAAGATGGTATTATGCATTACTTTTCTTGTTGCTATAACCAAATACCTGAGAAGAAGCAACTTAAGGGAGGAGGACTTATTTTAGTCTTTAGTCCATTATGGGAGGGAAGGCATTTTCCCCCATGGCAGGCTCCCTTTTGGCTCTTGTGTGCAGCTGGGATCCCTCAGCTTTTCACATCTTGGTGGAACAGGAAGAGAGTAGACAGGAAGCAGGGCTGAGCTGTAAAACATCAAGACCTGCCCTCAGTGACCTACTGCCTCCAGTGAGACTCTGCCTCTTAAGGTTCCACAGTCTTCCACAATAGTGGTACCATTTGGGGACCAAGTATTTAAACATATATATATATAAGTCTTTGAGGGGCATTTCACATTCAAACACAACATAGTAGAAACCATCTACATATTATTTTGGGTACATTTCACCCATATCTTAAACTTGCCATGTATTAATATTGATAACAACAATAGATAATTGTCCCTTCCCTTGTTGACCAAAAAAAACAAAACAAAACAAAAAAACCCTTAAAACTAAAAAACTAAAGAATTTTCATAAAATTGCCTGACTACTTCTTTAGCTATCATTTCTGTAAGACAAGTCCTTTATAGTACACAAAATGAATGAGCACGTATACCATCACTGAGGTTAATTTGAAATTTCTCAGCTCTCAAATCTCTTTTAAAAATTTATTATTATTGTTTGTGCATCGTGTGTTAGGGGTGGGCTTGTATGCCATAGGACACATTTGGAAGTGAGAGGACAACTTTGTAGAATTGATTCTCTCTTTTTGCCTTTTTGTGGGAACTTGGGGATCAAACTCAGATGTTCAGGTTTACATGGCAGGCACCTTTACCCCTGAGCCATCTTGCCATCCAGAGCCCCAAAATTTAAGAAAAAGATATGAGTTTTTAAAAAAATATTTTTATTTATTATTTTATATGTGTGAGTGTATTGCCTGCATGTATGTGAGTGCACCCCTGTTGTGCAGTGCCCCGGCGGTCAGAAGAAGGCTTTGAATTCCCCTGGAACTGGAGTTAAGGATGGTTCGTAGCCACCATGTGGGTGCTGGGAATGGAACCTGGGTCCTCTGCAAGAACAGTCAGTGCTCTTAACTGCTGAGTAATCTCTTCAGCCCCAAGAGTTATTATTATTTTGCCTTTTGCTCTTCTGCTGTCTTCCTTTCATCTCTTTAATTTTCTGCCTTTTGTAACAGTGTTATAATCAATTCCTAAATAGAAAAATTTCCTGGTTCCTGATTTTAAAATTTAATTATGTACTCTCAAAGACTTAAGATACAATTTTAATGTAACTTTAACAACTGCAGATACCGGGAGGCAATTCAGAAGTGGGATGAAGCACTGCAGTTAACCCCTGATGATGCTACCCTTTATGAGATGAAATCACAGGTAATAATTATGAGGAATTTGATTTTCATATGAAGGTATGCTATGTTTATTTGTGAGCAATGATGAACAAAGTTAGTGTTTACTCTTATTACCCTTGTTTTTCTTTTATGATACAATTTATTTAAAACTCTTTCATGCATTATTTATAGCTTTATGCATAAAATTAGTGTGTTTGCTTTCATAATGAACTCAGCTGTTAATTCAACCCAGCTATGAGAAGAAATGAACAGATGATCAAGTCACTAGTAAATCTCTTAATAGGAAAAGTTTCTAATTTGCTTTTAAATTAATCATCTAGTCTTAGTACTAACTCATTTTTCTTCAAAATGAGGATGGATTGGGTTCTGGAAGAGATTTTTTTTAAAAGGAACTTTCAGCAACTGATGGCTTCTGGGATGGGGAGAGACAGTCTCTTACAGGGATAGGAGTCTTGATAGGTTGACCAGGCTCCAGTGATGAACCTATGCTGAGGGACATAAATCAGTCTCTTATAGGCTGTATTGTGTATATAGTGGAGTACATTGAATTGGGTGGAGGAGGGAGGAGATTTAAATACCCTTAAATTATATGGTATGAAAAAATCACACAAAAAAAAAATCAATGAAAAATTTAAAAAGTGATGTAGATCGGTTGCTTCAGCATCCTGGAACTGCTACTTGTGGAGTGTATAGTCACTCATAAGATTCTTGAGTGTGGGAGACAGGCTTGAGCCTAGGGTGAAAGTCTTATTGACAGCCATACAGCAGGCCTGAGGCAATGGCCCGACATCTGGAGCCAAAAGAAACGCCTTGTGACATTTGCTCCCACTGGCAGAGATCATGAGACTGATGCCTAGAGCTCACCACTTCCTAATCACCACCCTTGGAATCCAAAATTGCAACACTTAGATATTGCAACAGTCAGGGTCATGTGGTTTCCCGGAATCCAGGCTCTGTAATCTGAAACCCAGTATGCTAATGAGGCATCCTACCTGCTATTCTGTGATAGGATGTTAAGTCTCTTATGCTAATAGGATGCTGTCTGTTATGCTAATAAGGTATCCTACTTGCTGTACTGTGATAGGATGCTAAACCTGTTATGCTAATAAGGTATGCTAATAATATGTTATGCTAATAAGCACTTGCTGTGCTGTGATTGGACCACTACCCCTATATAAGCTTGTGCCTTCCTGCAATAAAGCAGATCTGTGTCACTGAACCTGGTCTCCTGCATCTGAATGGGGCGATGCTGGCGCAGACTCCTCACCAGCCCTGGAGTCTGGACCGGATGACTGATCAGAGGAACTGAGAGCAGGAGAGTGGCCATAGCCGGAGAACACCCACAGCTGGCGACCACACTTGAGGAAACCCAGACCTGAGGCCAACCAGTGGAGGGGGAAGATATTGAGACTTTTGCCCTTCAGGCAGAAATTCACCAGTTAATGTCATCGGTCATCAGTACTTTCTACTCAAAGAGATCTTTCCTTGTGAGGGAGCTCATTTCAAATTCATCAGATGCTCTGGATAAAATCAGATAGGAGAGCTTGGCAGATTCCAGTAAACTATGGAAAGAAATTGCACATTAATGTCATTCCCAACAAAGAAGATCACACCCTCCCTATTGTGGACCTGGAATTGGATTACCAAGGCCATCTTGATTAATAATCTTGATACTGTCACCAAGTCTTCATGAAGGGTTTGTAGGATGGTTCAGGTATCTCTATGATTGGCCAGTTTTTGGTGTTGAGCTTTCTTTCTGGGTATTTGGTTGCTAAGAGAGTGACTGAGAGCTGGAGAGATGGCTCAGCAGTTAAGAGCACTTGCTGTTCTTGCAGAGGACCAGTGTTCAGTTCCCAAGACCTACATTTCAGCTGACAACTACCTGCAACTCCAGTTCTCTGGAGCCATGCCCAGAAGCCATGCCCTCTTTTGGCTTCTGTGGGTGCTGCATACATGTGATGCACTTACAAACATGCAGGTAAAACTTTACATTCATAGACATGAAAGAAAACTTAAAACAGTGACTGACCACCAAGCATAATATTGATGAGACTTATGCCTGGGAGTCCTCAGCAGGGGGATCATTAATAGTGAACCTACATGAGGGCACCTATTGGCTGTGGAACTAAGGTTATCCTACATCTGAAAGAAGACCAAACAGAACTTGGAGGAAAGAGGAATAAAGGAGATTTTATTAGAAGGATAGTAAATTCTTAGGATTCCCCTTTATTTCCTGTGAAATGTTGCAGCAAGGCAAAATTTTGAAAATGGCCAGAAATAAATTGGTCAAAAATGTGCTTAAAACTGTTCACTGAACTGGGAGAAGATAAAGAGAACTACAAAAAGTTTTATGGGCAGTTTTTGAAAAATATAAATCTTAGAATTCATAAAGAGTCTCAAAATCAGAAGCTTTCAGAGCTGCACATGTATCTGTTTCTGGGGATGAGGTCCTTCTCCCAACATCTGTTATACCAGAATGAAGGAAAGTCAGAAAGGCATAAAAGTTTTGTTATGGGTGACATCAAGGACCAGGTAGCTAACAGCTCCAGATGCATAGTTTAGAAGTGATCTGTGTGATTGAGCCCATTGATGAGTAATGCATCCAGTAGCTGAAGGAATTTGAGGGGAAGATTTTAGAGTCAGTCACCAAAGAGGACTTAGAACTTCCAGCAGATGAAGAAAAAAAAAAAGAAACAGGAAGAGAAAAAAACAAAAATTTAAAACCCTTGCATAAATGTGAAAGACATCTTGGGAAAAAAAAAGGTGAAAAAGGTGATCATGCCAAACTGATTGGTCACATACCCATATATTGTCACGAGCACATCAGGATGGACAACAGATGTGGAAAGAACCATTAAAGATCAAGCCTAAGAGAGAGCTTAACGATGGGTTATATGGTAGCAAAGAAACCCCTGGAGGCTCCCCTGCCTACTTCATTATTGTAACCTTAAGGCACAGGGCAGAGACTGACAAGAATGGCAAGCTTGTGAAGAATCTGGGTGTCTTGCTTTCTGAAAACTGCACTCCTGTCTTCTGGCTTCAGTTGGGAAGATCTGCATACACATGCTAACAGAATCTACAGGGCGACGTAACTTGATCTAGGTATTGATAAGGATAATCCCACATTGCTTGAAGGAGATGATGACACATCATGAATGGAAGAAACAGACTAAACTTCACCAGAAAAAACACCTGACCATGTATTCAATTCTTACCTTCATTCCTCCTGATATTATATTTTTCCATGTCTTTTTAAAAATTAAAAAAAATGGTTTATATTTGGACAAATGTTTTGACTGCTGGTATGTATATTGGTATATATAGTGCCTGCAAAGGCCACAAGAGGGCAGCAGAGCTACCACGTGGGTGCTGGGAATTGAACCCATGTCCTCTGGAAGAATACAGGTGCTCTTAATCCCTGAGCCACCTCTCCAGCTCCTCGTTTATCTTTTTAACATTAAAAAAAAATCTGTATGGACGAGTGTGTTTGTGCATGCTTTTAATCCCAGCACTCCGGAGGCAGAGGCGGGTATATCTCTATGAGTTTGGGGCGCGCCTGGTCTACATAGCTTTCCGGCTTGATTAAAAAAAAAAAAAAAAAAAAAAAAAAAGAAAAAAATCTGTATGGGATGATAACTGAGGAAGATAAGGTTTCTTTCTACTTTTAGATGATACTGTGCTACCTTAGTCAGTAAATCCAACCCAGTCCTGCTTTTTCTAGTTTCACCTTGTCCTATTTTAGCAGAGTGGTAGAATGTTATAAGATGTAATGAAACCTGTTGTTAACTTTGTGGTCTGAAGTGTTTAGCAATCAAGCTGGATTGCTTAGTACATGAATATCTTATCACTGAAATGTTCTGAGATATATCTTGATGTTTAAAAGAAAAAAAATTATTAAAATGGTGAGTTTCCTTATACAACAGGCCACAACTGGACAACTTCTAAAGAATGGGACTGCAGAGTTTGTGTCCCTGGATAGGACTCCTATATCAAACCTCTCCCACCCATGGCTCAGGGACTATTGAGGAAGAGGGGGCAGGAAGATTGAAGGAGCCAGGGTTGATCCATGAACCTAGTGTGGGGAGAAAGAGGGTCCCCTAGAGAGTTCTTAGTCTCATTCATAAAAGAATTTAAGAATGGACTCAAACAGAAACTTTTACAATTTTATTGAATTTTAAAGAAAAATCCTCAGGGCAAGTGAGCTAGTAATCTTGGTAGCTGCCTTGAGGAGGAGGGAGGGGAGAAGGAAAGAAAGCCATGAAGCCATGCAGATTTAGAGCCTGCCTGGGGATCAGACACATGGCTGACTGGCAGCCACATGGCTGGGAAAAGGAAGCTTTAGAGAAAAAGTAAAGAAATATAAGATTCTAGGGCAGCCCAAAGCATTAGAGAAAACGTTTAGAAAAGGGATGTGAAGAAGAAAAGGAGAGATTATGCTTGTCTGAAGAATTCAGAAAAGCGGGCAGATTTACAGATTACATGACTGTGGCTGGTCCAGAAGGTCTCTAGGAGGCGGGATTCCAAGCAGGAAAAATTTGCTGTCTCATTGAAGCACTAGGTATTTCGCCCATCTGTTTAGCATAACTTAAGGTGAACCTGCCTTCCTAGGGGTAGACCTATGACCAAATGATTGACCAGTGAAACTGGAATGGTGAGCCTTCCAACAGATAGACTAGAGATTTTATAGTCTTGACCAGTTAAACTTATGGGGCTTTTTGCCACTCTAACAATAGGGAAGCAGAGGTCTTCAGGCCACTGGAAGCTTGTACATATGAACTTGTGGCAATGGTGGCATTGAGCACATGCCAACTCAATCAGACAAGGGCCCAGAGTGGTGCAAGGGGTGGCAGGTTGGCCCTATACTGAGAACTGTTAGAGACTGATTACTACTGGGGTGAGGGAGAATAATCTTAACCAATGATCTCTAGATAGGCTTTGTAGACTCCAGTGGGTGGATTTGTAACGAAGGACATCAGAGTACAAATGCTTGACTGGATAGGACTTAACACGTGTGGCAGAATACATGAGGTCCAGTGGGCGTGGGGTTGGGGAAGCATGGATGGGAGAGGGGGTCTAAATTTGATTAAGAACCTTTGTATGAAATGTACAAAAGCTCAATAAAATTTTTTTAAAAAATAGTGAGTTTTGTCTTCTCAAATCCACTTCTAAAAGTTTTCATCCCTAGAGTTAAATCTGCATGAAATTTCTTAGAAATAAATGTATAAGCTAAAAGACCTTGATGGGAGGAACTCCCCATATGACTTGATTTCCAGAGTAAAGTATTAAGGAACAAAGCCTTAATTGAGGAACAAAACAAAGCATCCCTAGGTCTTATAAAGCCAATTAAAAAAATAACTCAGCAAGCTTAGTGAATGGAAGCATAGTACCTAAGTCACATTCTGTTTTAAGAACACTGATTGTTCTTGCAGAAGACCCAGATTCAAATCCCAGCACCTACATGGCAGCTAACAACTGTCTGTAACTCCAGTCCCAGGGGATTCGAGAGCCTCTTCTGACCTCCTTGGGCATTGCATAACACAGGTGCACTTACCTACATACAGGCAATACACACATACACATAAAAAATAAAAATTAAAAAAAAGGTAAATAGAGATGAGATAAAAAGAAAACAAAGCTGGGTGTGGTGGCACACACCTGCGATCCCAGCACTCAGGAGGCAGAAGCAAGTGGATCTCTGAGTTCCAGGCCAGCTGGGGTTACAAGGAGACCCTGTCTCAAGAAGATCCCCCCCCCAATAAACCCCACAAAAAACCAAAATGGCATGTGCCCTAGCAAAAGGTTGGAGTCGATGTGGAAAATAGCATTTGTATTACATATATATTTCTAATTTTTTTTTTTTTTGTCTTTTTGAGACAGGGTCTCCCTGTAACCCCCGCTGTCCCGGAACTCATTATATAGACCAGGCTGGCCTCGAACTCATAAAGATCCACCTGCCTCTGCTTCCCAAGCAAGTGCTAGGATTAAAGGCCTACGCCACCATGCCCGGCTACATTTCTAATATTTTATGGAGAAATTCTGTATAGAAAGCCTCTGAGTACCTGAATTAGGTTATCTATGAGACTTTAAAAGTCTCCAACAGAGCTGATATGGTGGCACATGCCTGGAATTCCAGTTCTAGGGAGGCTGAGGCAAAGGGAATCATGAGTTGCAGACCAGCCTGGGCTATATAAACTCTCAAAAATTAAAACCAAAAAAGTCTCAAACAGAGCATTACATCTTTGTGATTGAAGAATTAAAGAATTGTTGCAATTCAGCCTCAATACTGCACACCTAACAAATATTTTTCAGTCATCTCAAATGAGAAGCTCATGCTTTAACAACTTTTAGTTTACTGAGGAAGAATCCAAATAAGGTCCACTGATGCAAGTGCCCTGAAGACCTTCTTTTACATCTTTCAGTTTCAGTCTTAAGATATGTGTAGATTAAGGTAAGTCTTAGAGCAGACTGATGAAAAGTTTAACTTAGAGCCATAGAATGGTATTTGTGTCAAAAATGTTCTCAAAATGTTCATGATCACAAAGATTATAAATAAAATACAACTCTTCCTCATAGATTGAAGTGGAGGGTTCAGTTTTTCTGGTTTGTGTGCCTTGAAAAGCCCAGTTATGAGGCCTCCAGAGTGTTTAATTTTTGTAGCATGAATATGGGCACTAGGAATAGGATGGCTGGCTGAGCAAATTAGTTTACCTATTTTAATGATGAGACTTGGGAGTTTACTAAAAGCAAGTCATAAGTGGAGTAACTAGAAATGAAAATGGCTCTGAGCTCCATGGCTGAAATAGAACCACTTGGTTTTGACTAGGTGGGAAGAGCTAAGTGACTGGAAGAGGAGTATTAGTATTAGGAGTGAAAAAAGGACTAGAGTTCCTAATCCTGAAGGGAAGGAAGGGGATAAAATCCATGCAGATGGTCTTACCAGATTAGGATGCATTTAAAAAAATATTTTATTTTTATTTTATATGTATTAAATGTATTGCCTGCACGTAGCCAAGTGTACCCATGTACATGCAGTACCCACAGCTGTCAGTTACCATGAGGGTGCTGGGAATCGAATCCAGGTCCTCTGCAAGAGTAGCCAGTGCTCTTTAACTGCTGAGCCATCTCTCCAGCCGCCTTAAGATATATTTGGTAGGTTGCTCATGTTTGATTATCCATCACTAGCTTGCTGGGTTGTATTATATATATATTTCCTTACAGGTTTTGTTTCTTTTTTTTTGGCATTATAGGTCCTAATGTCTCTTCATGAAATGTTTCCCGCAGTACATGCAGCGGAAATGGCTGTCCAGCGAAACCGACATTCATGGGAGTCTTGGCAGACTTTAGGTCGTGCTCAGCTTGGATTAGGAGAGATAGTCTTGGTAAAGAAGTTGAATTGTTACAGTGCTCAAATTTAAGTTTATTTTGACTTTTTCTTTAAAAATATTTCTTATATATTCAGCATACGCCCTGCTGTCCTAGTCCATCTCCTCCTAGCCAACACACCCTGTCTCTTTTCTCTCTTCTGTCTTCCTCTTAGTCCACTTTGTTCCCCTAGATAATTTCATTTCTATCTTTATATAATCTAAAATTTATTTTTAATTATTTTATGTGTATGAGTGTATTGCCTGCATGTATGTAAGTGCACCCATGTCATGCAGTGCCCATGGAGGTCAGGTGAGGGCATTGTATCCCCTGGAACTGGAGTTACAGATGATTGTTAGCTGTCATGTGGGTGCTGGGATTTGAACCTGGTTCTTCTGCAAGAGCAGCCTCATTTCATTTATACATACATAATTTCATTAGAGTATATAAAATCTAGGAACCATAACTGAGAGAAAATATATGATGTTTGTCCTTTTGGAAATGGGTTAACGTGCTTAATATGATTGTCTCCAGGGGCATTCATTTTTCTGCACACAACACAACTTCATTCTTATGGCTAAAAAAAATTCCTCTGTGTGTGTGTGTGTGTGTATCACATTTTCTTTATCCATTCTTCTTTTGTTGGACACCTAGGTTGGTCCTATACTTAGTTACTGTGAATAGTGTTGCAATAAATAAACATTGATGTGTAAGTGTCTGTGATCTGTTGACTTGATGTCCTTTGAGTAAATTCCCAGGAGTGGTATAAGTAGATCTATTTCTATTTCTTTGAGAAGCCTCCATACTGCTTTTCATAGAGGAATCTCACTGTAGTTTTGACGTGTTTCTCTGATGACTAGTGAGGTTAAAACATTTTTATTGAACATTTGTATTTCATCTTTTGCTATTTTGGCATTAAATGTTATTTTTGTTTCATGTGTTATGAATGTTTTGCTTGCATATATCTAAAGGTACCTTGAACTGGAGTCACAGGTGGTTGTGAGCCACCATGTGGGTGTTGGGAACTGAACCTTGGTCTTCTTCAAGAAGAGCAACAAGTGCTCATAACTACTGAGCCATCGTTCCAGGCCCTTGACATATTTTTGATCAACTAAACCAATAAATAAATAGCTATTTGTCAAGTCTACAAAAAGAGAAAATTATTTCCTAAAAATAATTAACTTGTTAACAGACCAAATCAGTCACTGACATCTTCTTATGATTGTGAGCACCATTTGTGTCAGCACCAGAATGCTGCTTAGTTATTTGATATCGTGAAAATTAAAAAATAAGAACATAAAACAATGGCATCTGGTAAGGTGTATTTAAATAAACAGCAGTAAGCAATACTTAGACTGAAAATTTGCTAGGCTTAGTGAGAGAAGTGTTGGGAAGGTAGAAGCCTCTGAGAACAAAACAGTCACTGTGTTTGGTTGGTTGTGATGGTTCATAGCTCATGAGCTATACCTTGTTGGGAGCAAACGCTAAATGGTAACAAAGGTTTTTTTTTGGGGGGGGAATAAAAATTATTAATTTATTTTTCATTTAAAAATTATTTAATAACCACATACTTAGAAGAAGCATTTCATTACATCAGCATTGACATATTCAGTAACAGTTCTCTGAGCTAGGCTGCATCTCTGACAAAATTGGCTGTACATTTTTAGGTTTACAGTTGAATTTATTACAGTTATACAATATTATACTGCAAGTGTGTTTCCTACATATGTGTAAGTGCAGCCATGTTGTGTGATGCCCACAGGTCAGGAGAGAGTCTTAGATTCCCCTGGAACTGGAGTTAGGGACAGTTGTTAGCCACCATGTACGTGTTGGGAGCTGAACCCAGGTCCTCTGTAAGATCAACCAGTGGTCTTAATAGCTGAGCCATTGCTCCAGCCCCAAGAAAATAAGTTTTAAAAAAATAAGATATTCTACTCATAATTGCATTTTGGCAATTATGTGGTAGCCATTCACAGAGACCCTCCTTTTTTCTTTATTTTAATGATAATGTTTTCACATCTACTAATTATTAAGGAGATTTTTATGCTTTGAAGAATTTTTATTTTTTTAATCATTATACTTTAAAAAATTTTAATAACGACATGATTAGAAGCTTTTCACTACAGCTTTAACATATTCAGTAACACACTCCAGAGCAACAGTACATCTCTTTCACAAGTGGGTGCAAGTTTTTAGGTTCACAGTTGTATTAATATAGTTATATATTATTGAACTCAATATAAGCCCGGTAAGACATAAAATTGGATGAGTTTTTAACATTTAAAAAAGATATCTATTTCATTTTAGAATATATTGTTCCTTGCAGAAAGACTCATTGTTTTTGCTACTAACACTGAGATGTTGGCGCTTGCATTTCTAATCTGTATGTATCTGATTATTACTAGTCATAATTGGTTGCACTTGGATCCTTGGGGCCTGTGTTTGTCTTTAAAGTCATTGGACAGAATTCAGTGGTATTGTTTATCACCTCTACTAATTAGCATGACATCAATTTCCATGCTTCCTCCTCAAATATAATATATTTTTTAAAAATTTGTTGATTTTTATTTTTATGTGTTTGAATATTACACAGAACATCCCAAACCATCTCATTCAGCTATACACCCACTTCCCAGATAGCACCCTCCCATAGCCTCTCTAACCCCCCCTAGGGCCCTTATACTCTGATATCTCTGCTATTGTCTGCTGTGTTGTCAGGACCCCCATCCATTCTCCACTACTTGCTCTTCTGGTGAATCTAGTCAGCCTATCTACAGGTCTTTGATTTAGGAGGGTCAGCTGTTCCTCATCTAGCAGTAATCAGTTGCCAATATTCCTTTAGACAAGATTGGAGTCTGCTGTTCATTTTCCCAGTTCTATGCTGGGTTACTATC